GCTGCTGCTGCTGATGGTGTTTCACTGCAGCATCTCTGGAGCTGCTCCAGATGGACCGGGCCTCACCCAGATATTAATAATCATATCTGTGTCTCAGTCATGCACACACACACTGATCACGGTCTGAGATCAGACACAGCGCTGACTGTCAGATAAATGTAGAAATTAGTTTTGGTAAAAATATTATTTTAGCAATTACATGTTGATCTCATTTCAAGTTGATATTGTGATATATAATGCTCACTGGTCACTCCAGTGCTTTTGTGTGATTCCTGTACTATTATAATATTCATTAGTATTTATTTTTAGTACATTTTGGTGTATTTTTGTCTTTTTTTTCAGTTTTAGTCTTAGCTATTTTATTGCTTCAACTTAAACGTAATGATAATGAGATCATTTGGCAACTACACAGTTTTACATTTTCCCAGTTTAGTTCCATTTATTTTATAAGCAACAAAATGGCTTTTATTGTTTTAGAATAAAATGTGTTTCTACGATTATAACCCTGGGCTGCACTGCTCTCCAGATATCAGTATCGGCATTAGCTTTAGCATCAGGCGTGTATAATACCTGTGTTATCACAAGAATGAATACAACGCCGCTTTGCTTTAAGTTAATCTGAATGTTGAGCTGCGGCCCACGCTTTACACCGACAGAACGACTCGTAAGAAATGAATAACGTGTTCCTTTCATATTCCACAGCGCTGTCTGAGTTATTGTCCTGTGATCAGCTCCACGCCGTCGCATGCAGACTGATGTGCTGTTATTCCATGTACTGTCACTGTAGCTGCAAATATCTGACGTGTTGCGTGTGGACCGAGCTTGTTTATTCTCACGAGTCACGTGATCACGGTCACATGTGTTCTGGCAGGTTACTATGGCAACCCCCTGAGCCAGTACATCCGTCACTACGAGGGTCTGTCGTACGACAGGGATCTGCTGCACAGTCAGCATCAGAGAGCCAAGAGGGCGCTGTCTCTGCAGGAGCGCGAGCTGCAGCTGGAGTTCCACGCTCACGGCAGGTGAGGGGTCCTTCGGCTCCGCGTCTGAGCGGACTGCTTCAGGTCTTCAGAAGAAACAAAGGATTCTGAATTCTGATTAGATCACAAAATCCAATCTTGGTTTTGATCTGGATTA